CTCACATAAATGTTGCAGTAAAAGTGAGTTATTTCCTTATGAAGTATGGTCCAGTAAAATTATAAAGTCTCCTCATGCTCAGCTACCTCTCCCTCAAAACTGGCTGCAGTAAATGCACTGTGTTACCTTCTGCCTCTGCTCAGTGTGCGAGGTGCAAGGCATTTACTTTCTGTGCTCATGCATTTACATTATCACTTGACTTCCATTTAAATCCCTCTGCATTATGCACCCAGCAACACTTCCTCCCCCAAGAAGCACAGAAATCCACGGCATCCCTCATGATTTGTTGCCTCTACCTGAGATCAAGTGCCTAATTGTTCAATTATCGAGTGAAACCTACGTCATGCTGGCTGTTTTACTGAGCCATAGCAGAGTTTATCCTGTGCTGTTTTAAAAGGACGTAGGTGGCCTCTGTGATATAAACGCACACAAACAAACAATACACACACACACACGCATTCCCCAGCCTACACATGCACACACACTCTTATGAATGGTGTGTGGGTAGGAGGTCCTGTTTACTTATTTTTGTAGTGCGTCCCCCACAGCTTACCGCTTTAATGAGAGAGAAGCCCAGTTAGCCAGCCATGGAATTACAATTGGAAGCCCTGCTCTGTGACTGTGTGACCTGAAGCCAGCAGCCAATAATGGTTGTACATTTTTCTCTCCACGCTACACATTCTAAATATAAAGGGAAGGAGAATAAAGCTTTTAGCGGGAGAGAGCACTCCAATCAAGTGTCTCTGTTTCCATGGGCGAACTGCGCTTAGTAACACGCTGAAAATGCATTCTGGGGGAGAGGGGTGTGCCACTGATGCCAAGGTTATGGAGACTGAGAAGCAAACAGCGTTCAGTGAACAGTACATCACTTCTGGAGTGCTTGTTGCATAAGAGCATCTGTACACACACACGTAATACACAAGCCTGGAGGAACTTGTCATGGATGATGCACTTTGGATCAGTAATTCTTGCTTGACATCCAGACTGGAAAAGTTTGCACCTGGTCTCGAAAGGGAACCCACTCTCTGAAAAAACTTTATGTTTTTGAAAAGTAAAAATTTTTTCTAAACATTTCCCAGAGTCTTTTGGTGTGGTGAGATTTAACAAAACTAAGAAGAAGGAAAGATAAATTGTCTTTACAGGCTGTTTCCCAAATGAGTGCCAGACAACTGCAGGTCAGCATAATGCAGTGTTGTGGTGGGAGTCTGTGCACGTTATGGTTCAGGTCCAAATCAATTATAGTTCAGTACCTGCCCTTTGGATGCTTTCAATTTGGACCTTTTTTTTGAGTTATTGGCTTGATTCTGCCTCCTTTTTTTGTGTGTGTGCTCATGTTCCTCTACCTTTGTGAGGACTAGTGTTTTTGAAACTGAGAGCAAGGACAGAGTTGGAAAGTTAGTAAATTTTAGCTGACAAATATTGAGTTCAGGGTTAAAAATGGATTTTACTTTTTAAGTTTTTAAGTTCCTGATCAGAGTTAATATGTTGTTGTAATGTTTAAGGTAAGGGTTGGCAGCAGCTTTAAATAGAAATACAGTGTACTTGCAAGGTTGCATTTGACAATAGGTTGCAAATAAATAGTGATTTTGTCTTCTCTGTGATTATTTGAATGTTTTTAGAGACCTACAAAGAGAAAATTACTTAAATCAGAAGAAAGATCAGAAAATATGTGAAGCACAAAATGTTTCCCATCTGTTCATATGATGACAGCCACTTTCACTGGACTCGGGAATGCATTGTATTAATCAGGGTCCTCAGTAATACAGTATAGCTTTAAAAGTGTGTGTGTTTAAACAATGACAGGGAGCTCTCCCAGATGGTCATACTGTAATTTTCTGTCTGAATTTGTAATAATGGCAACTGCTGCTTGTTTGTGTGCCTGCAGGCCGGTGCATGTGTATGTTATATTCTCTAGCTAACAATATCACTCATGTTGCTCACACTATCTAATAGCAGTTTTCTCCATCTGGGATTTCTTGTTACAGTGACAATCTGCAGATGTGACTAGCAAACACTGTAAATCATTACATCTACCAGAAGTAGGATCCCTGTACAAAATCCCTAATCTCATATGTGCTTCTTTTTGTACATACAACGCAGGCACATACACACACAAATGCACAAACACACCATTGGGAGGTATCATCACAGCCTAACGTAATATGATTGATCGTGACACTAGTTTAATCTGGACGCAGAGTGTGAGTAACGTATTGAGTCTGTTTTCATTAGGTAGCCAGTCTGACTGAGAGGGAAGTGAATACTACAAACAAGATGAGAGACATTCAAATGAAAGGGAGGTGGAACAGTCTGCTTCCAGAGATAAATAAATGATCAAGTGAAATGACACCAAAAGTCATTAAAAGGTGTTAATGGACAATTATGTATAAGGTGTGCCTGGCTTTTCTATGTTATCTTGGTAATAAAAAGGCTGCCGCAGTCAATAAACAGTCTGCTGGCGTCATCTGCTGGATACTTTTGATTCATCTTGATTTCTGGTCATTTCAGAGGTTGTCACTAGAGAGCACTGTTTCACTACAAACTAATATCCAATGCTTGTAGCACTGTTTGGGTGATAACACAGGTGTAGTGGCTGATTTCTAGTGGTGGGAGAAGTACTGAGATCCTTTACTTTGCAAATATACCAATAAAACAATTCTTCAAGTCTTGTACCCAAAATCCTACTTGATGTAAAAATAAGTAAGTATTATCAGCAATATTTACAAAAAAAAGAAAAGAAAAA